ATACATTTGTTATGTCCACCGAGAATAATGATCGGACAAAGTGTTGTTATCATCACTAGCCTATTAATCACCTTACTGCTGGGGCACAGGCCTTTCTTATGGATAGAATAGAGAGACTGGGCCATGACCCACCACGCAGACCCAGTGCGGATTGGTGGGTGATAACGACTGCAGTAGCAGCCGAGACCAACGGCTTTACGTTACTTCCGAAGCAAGGAAATAGAGGATCATAAATTTTGGTCACCCATAAAATGACCGGACATTACGAAAGTTGCTTAACTCCTACAGGCCGAACGCGCTATCCACCTGCGCTATCGAGTTTCTCTTTATTGAGACCCTTTATTTAAAGAAGAGATATGTACATTAACACTATTATAAAGGCCATTACTTATTACAACTTACAACTCTATTCAAAATGTGAAAGAAGTCATTTTGAAGTTTAACTTTATCGATTCATATGCCTAATATAGTCGTTGATATTACTGTATTTAAACCTCTGAACTTCGTTCGTATGGTTGAAAATAGTGAAGATAGCTTTGAACTAGCTATTGGAGAATTACTACAGATAGAAGATATAACCTGAATCGAGTTTGGTTACATAGTTGCTCTGAATTATGTATTTAGGGAATACCGTCTTTGGCTCCATCGCTTTCTTTATGGTAATGCGAACAGATTCTATTTGTATTTATATACAAAACATTGATTTGCATGAACTAGGAATGCTGTATTTTCTTAAGGAATTTATACCTCGGGTAAAGGTAGTGATTTTGCAGTTAAATGTACTTTAACACTCTTTATACCAAAGTTAATATTAGTTTGCTTTTAGGAAAATACATACAAGTTTTTTTTTCGTAGTGAGTGAGTGGATTTTAATGCTTTGAAATTAGTTTTTTTGGCCATCCTAGAAAAATGATCATGGATTCTGATAAAATGACTTTGGTACTGCGTCAAACTCTTGCTTTTATTTTCAATGTCAAAGATCTATAAAACACTAGTGATGCTGTTTACCCAACTATAAATTAACTGAAACTCATTACTCCGAAGTTTAACTCTTAGTTACATGTGTTTATGTAACGCAGAAAGTAAATATATAAATAAGTATTTCCAACACACACACCAATTAGCCTAGTCCCAAAGTAAGCAACGTAAGGCTTGTGTTATGGGATAGGGTAGGTTAATGGATAGAATACATATATCGATACATATATAAGTATATTTATATAGAAATACATATTAAACATCCATGACTGGAGTACAAATGTTCGTATTCATCACACAAACATCTACCCCCACTAGGACTCGAACCCGAGACCTCTCGAGTAAGCGACACCTTGAAACCCGGAGTTCATACCACTCGGCCACGGAGGTTGTTAAATGTACCATGGACTAAGGAAAACTTCACAAAGAATTCCTTTAGAGTGCTTCTACATGGTGCAAGTAACTTGCGCACTTTGAAGCACTTGCGCAGGTTATATGCATCGTGAAAACATGGTGCAAAGCCATGTGCAGGTCGAGCGACTCGAGCATGTACCAGAGCGAGCTATCCGCTCAACTAATCCGCGCGCCGCGGCGCACGCAGGTCACTTGTTCATGTTATTTGAGCAGTTTCTGACGTGCGCAACCGCTAATTACGTATCCATAACTTTTTGCTTCGTAATTTTGTTACTTCGTTTTCCATTCAAGAACTTTCGTTCGTCGAGACATTTTGATGCGATTCATTCAACTGATAAAGCTTACCGCCCGCGCGATAGTATGCACATGTAGCTCTTGATCACGATCAAACAACTTGCTTGTACTGCTTGCGCAAGTAGCCCGTGTCTTATTTGCTACAGCCATTTGCACCATGTACGAAACCAAGCGAGAAGCTTGGTAGCTGGTGCACACTACTCACGCGAGTAACCAACATCTTGACTTGCTCCAGCTACTTGCACCGTGTAGAAGCACCTTTAGTTCATGTTTAAAGATCCTGCTCGTGACATTGGTGTCGATTCTGGCATGATTTTCTAAACCTAAACTACTTAAATTTGACAACAGTGTATCCTGGTCAATCTCTATACAGAATGAAAAGGAGAGACTAATCTTAAATATTGTATTAAGTTTAGAGAATCATGTTAGAATCGACACCATTGTAGATAGAAGTGACGAAGACATACAATACAAATGTTTTCAATCAAAGAAATACAAATGTTTTTAATCTTAAAATTATTTTCCGTAACATATATCGACGAATGCTGCTAGCATTGAAGTAGCGAAATTTTGCAGTAGCGTTGTATGTAACGCGCCTTGTAATCGTGTAAAGTCGACCATTTGGATCCAGCTGTAAGAGCATAGACGTATTTCGTATTAAACTTACATCGTCGAATTATAATTATTTATCGCAGTTGCAAGGCACACTCTATTATGCAAATAATTTTATTGACGATCTCTGTTGTGCTAATTTAATAATTGTTATAATATATTTCTAATTTATACTATTGCTTGACGTATAATTTCTATTTGTATTTTACAAACCAACTTTTTACTAGACCGAGATGCTGTGTATTTATTAATATCGATTTGTTGGGATATAACAAGTAAAAATATATTTGTAAAATACATAAATAAGTTTAAAAACTACCCAAAAACAATTCAAACGTACTGTTTATTAAGAAAAAAAAACAATAATATTGTAAAAGTTACTAACATTAAGCCTATAAGACAAGCTCATATTTGATAGGAGCATTGTGCCAACACTGGTCGCCATCAATCACAATTTGAACATATTGACTGGCCATCATTAGGTGTACATCTGTGGTAGCGTCTTCACACGGGCCGATACAAAGCCTAAATTCTATATCTACAGGATGTTCAGAAGTCTTATCTCTCTATGTTCCAAAGACTAGTAATACTGGAACACTTATTTTATTATCAGTGATTTTATTATATTTTATTTTATCCCAGAAGAAATCTGAGGGCAAACAACGTCCTAGTCTTGCAACTCAGAAATAATAAAAAATAAACTTGGAAACTTAAATTTTACAATAACTTTCATTCGCAAATGCAAAATACGTGATACTATTAAACTTTACGAGGAAGCGGAATTATTGCTTGGGAATTATTAAAAAATAATACTTTTCAACATAATTATTATAAGACCTAAGAATACCAAAGGCTTTTTTTTCTAAAGAAAGCTTTAATAACTTAATCATAACAAACTGTAAATAGTTGGTAAAAAAAGGCACAAAACAAAACCAACCAGCTTCTGACAGTAAAGGTCGCCATTTTTTTTCTCATTCAAACAATAAAACAATACCTCAACCTGTATATATATCATACACACAGAGCGGCAAACAATAAAACGTTGTTATTAATTCACCGGCGCTCGCGCATCTAACGAGCGGGTATTTGGGGCCAGCGGGAATCCGGACCCACCAGGTAGATGCTTTAGATACGAGTACACACCGTCGCCTATGATACGAGTAAGATGTTTAGCTGTGCAAAAGACTTTTGTAACATTGATATAAGTGCCTTGAGCGATTGTGACGAATATATATTTAAACTAGCTGACCCAGCGAACTTCGTACTGCCATAAAAAAATAGGGGTTGGTGGTAGAAAGTTGAAAATTTAGGGATGTATGTATTTTTGTATGTATTATAAAAAAATGAAAAAAAAAAATATCTAAATTTGAAAAAAAAAATTAGGGGTAGATTACCCTTAAAATTTAGGGGATGAAAAATAGATGTTGTCCGATTCTCAGACCTACCCAATATGCACACAAAATTTCATGAGAATCGGGAAAGCCGTTTCGGAGGAGTTTAACCACAAACACCGCGACACGAGAATTTTATATATTAGATATATATACCTAACAACAAACAACAGTTTACGGGATATACCAATATCAGCGAGCGCGTAGATAAATATCAAAGCCGCATTCTACCTACAGTGCAACGCTTCTCAATGACATTTATTTTTTTCAAAAAATGTATGTTTAAAACATAATGTCTATTTGATCGACATAGTTTCAACCCGTAGTGAAGGTATGGAACGCAAAATGTCAGTATCTTGTAGTAGGTTTAGTGAATTGTGACGTCCCATTTGCAATTTTTAACAATTTTAGACACTTAATAAAAAAAATTGACGTTGTTTTTTTAACTCTATAAAGTGGATGTTAAGTACTAAATACAAGTATAAAAACGAATCATGCATATTCTCTAATTTAAATAAATAAATTATTGTCCGTTCAAAATAAATAGATCGTAAAAATAGTTTAATTTCAATTTATGAGAATGGAAATTGTTACGGTTTCATAATTGCACAATTAGTGAGTTTACGTATTCAAAACATATTACGTAAAAAAAATTTTTTCGCGGGAATATAACCTAAATCCTTTTCTGAATTATCTAGTAAAGTTCCTCAAGTAACTCATAATTCATAGTGTACAAATATTTCTAACTCACACCGATTAGCTCACCCTTAAAGTAAGTTACAGTGCAGTAACGCATAAAAATACATACATACATACGTTTATTTTTGTAGAAATATAAATAAGTTACTATGACTTAAGCAAGCCATACACGCTAGGATATACCTAACAGGTTTACCTGTACAGTTTAACTGCACAGGTAAACTTGGGTTTGGTAGAGACCATACACAAACCTGCACAAACTGTCAGTTGAAACTATGACCCCGATCGCTCTAACAATCACCGGACAACTGACGCCTGCGCAGACGACCGCCACATACGCTCAGTTTTACCTGCACAGTAAAACTGCACAGGTAGAAAATATCAATATTCATATCTTTTCGAGTTGCCTGTACAGGCGTGAAAAGCTGCGCAGTTATGTGACATACACGCTCCGGTTTACCTGTACGGTTAAACTGTGCAGGTAAACCTGTCAGGTAAACCCTAGCGTGTATGGCTTGCTTTAGGAATAAACACTCGTATTCATTATACTAAACATTTTACAAAATACAAGTGTTTTGATTTAGTATCTTAATATGTGTTAATAGAACTCACCATTGAATGGCCAAGATATTCAGCTGCGTTGTCTGATATGTAGAGCAGTTTGCCGTTTTGTGTCATCATCATTAGGAATCCGTTTAGAGCCTGCAAAAACATATACTTATAACGTTCATCATTATTTGAAGAGGTTTAAATTATTATGTAAATCTCTTGTTTATCTCTGGCAAGATTCTTTTTAAAAGGGTGGCAAACAAGGTTATTCTGTGGTTGGTGGCAAGCGGCAGCCATAGCCCATTGATGCTTGCAATAGTATACCTTACATACTGACAGAAAAACTTCACTCCTAAAATATGGTAGATTTTTTTTATTTTTTTTTATTTATTCACCAAAAAAAATTGACATACAAAATTACATTATATCTGCCAAACTGCAACGCAGTTTGTCGGCAGAGTTCTGGTAGATACATTACTGTATTTATAATCATCATACTATAATATAATGCATTTTAACTTTCCTGTGACAGAGCACCGAATATATATAACAAGGAAAAAAGAGAATGCAATAATATATATTTTTTTTCTTTTCTCCTATTAATATCCCTTTGGTAGGTACTATATTTTAACCTAACCTAATAGTATATTTTTTATTAATAATAATAATAAATTAATTTATTTCTTCTTACAACAATTTGAGGCACATACAATACAGGTTAGGCAACACTTAAATAATATTATAAGGCGTTGTAAGAAGCTGGTGAAGGCGTTAACCTGTACTACGGATCACTAGGTCCTTACCCCTAGATAACAATCTATACATTGTTCTTCATAACCATAATGACCCTGTATTATATAATCCTAACAAAAACATTCTGTAAAAAACTAGCCAAGACTCGATGGAGCTGCTTGTTTATCTCTAAAAAGTAATTAAATCCTAACTTTGCAACTAAATGACCTACAGAACATGAAATTTTGGATTTTAAGTATGTGATTATAGCTTACTGGATGAAAATGAAAAAATCTGAAAATGCGGCGAAATGGTTCCAGTAAAGGATGGTACGGCAGTGTTTGCTTCGCGCTTGACTTGGCGGGGGCACTGCCGTGGTATTTATTCATGGTAAGTACAAGAAATTTAAACGGTAAGAGAAAAAGAACTGAAATAAAACAAGTTCTATCTCTAAATTATGTAGTGGAAGGTGACTATGTATAGGGATAAAAAAACAGCCCTTGCTAAGTTTCTTGCAGTGTGAAGAACCTTCTCAGTACAAGGCCGCCTGTCGTAGTTTTGCGAACCGACGGCGTGGCTTCTCGACTTTCACAAGTGCTTGTAACAGTCTAGACTCAATAAATGATTTTGGATTTGATTTGTAATAGACAGCAAAAATCTCAAACTAGTCATCTTAATAACTTCATTAGGAAAATTTAACTAAGAAAAGTTCCACCCGGTCTAAGGTTCAGACGGGTTTCGAAACCGCACCTTTTTTTTTACATTAAACAGGCTTACGCTTGACGGCCACGCGACTGATCAAGAGCGACGTAGCAACCTAAGGTGGGACGCGCTTGCCTAGAAGAAACCGATTCACTCGCGACTTGAAGAGCCCCAGATTGTAGGTGACTGGAAACAGAGATTCCGGCAAAGAGTTCCACAACCTAACTGTTCTGACGATATAGGTGGAAGCAAACCGTTTAGTACGAGTATATATAGTAGTAGTATTATATCCGGGCGAACGCACACGCAGGAATAGCGGATATCCGTGCGTGATAGCGGAAGATGCTGATTCGAATCCCGTCTTAAAGCTGTACCAAATGGAATTTATTCTAGTAAAGTTTTAATTCGATTTAAAAATCTAGCAGCTAAATCTTTAAAAAATATAAAAAGCTAAATAACAAAAATCACATAGACAACACAGTGAATTTAATTAATTCCACTTTATGAGCAGGCTGCTTAATAGCTTACAGAGTTATTTATGGACTGGCAATACTACGCCTCTTGCGCAAGTGTCACATAAACTACAGCGCGCTCTGTTGTCTTCAAAGGGAATTGGAGTACTGTATTTATGATAAGGCAGTGCTTAAAAAGACATTTATGCTGCAATGTGACTATGAACCTAGTGTTTCGTATGTTCCATAAGTTCATTTTTTAAGAAAATAAAAAAGTTATTTTTTCTTTTGCAGGCCAAAAATGGAATTATCATTCAGTACTTATCCTTCTTACTGGGTATAACCTGGGATTCTTTGCAAGGGGCGTTTAAAGGTAGCAGGCCGGAATTATCCATTTCCGGATATAGCATGAAAACTCTTTGTAGGAAAGATGACATGTTCATTTTATTCAGGTAGGTTAATAGTGCTTGATACTAGAATACATTAGACGTTTTTTATATCAAACTAGTTACCAAAGTGCTCAGAAAAAAAAGGATGCTGAGATTTCAGTTAAAAAACAGAAAACACTATTCCGATTTCCGTATTTTCCAGTGCCACTTAGAATTGTTGTTGCAAACTTTAACTTTTTCATTAAAATTACGAATATAGCAAATTAACAACCGAATTGGTTAATTAAGTGATGCTCTCTCATAGATGTGGCATTGCATTTACATATACTTACAAAGATAATTAATCCCATATATGACTAAATCATATATTAAACAGCGCATAATTATATGTTTATTGAAAGAACTATATGCATTTAAATTTGATAACTCAATTAAGAAAAAGTTTACGGTCATAAAAGCGTAACCATCAAAATATTCATAGAAACTACAAGTTTTGTTTCGTAAAAAAAAACATATTTTATAATATTATAATTAATTAAAACTTATTTGAAAAATTGCTTCTTTACTCCACAACTAGTGATTAAAAACCTCGAATCTAAGTTAATAAGTGGTTCTCTCATACCACACCCTTTTAATACTAAGTTATGTTATAGCCGATATTAAGTTCGGCACTGATTCTATCTCTTTCTTTCACATAGAGAAAAGTGTTATTAAAGTAAGACGGAATGATGTGGGAAACCACTTTTTAAAGTTGCTGGCGTAAATTATAGCGTATGTAATTAATTTTGGATTAACAAATACTATTCCGAACCAAGTCTATTCTGTGGTTTCTGAAGAAGTTTCTGTATAGGCTTGCATCAATATGATTTAACAATAACAAGAAGATTTCGGTACAATATTTTAGTTAAGTTTTAGATAACAAAAGATTTCATGATAGCTGTTGCTTAAGAGATTGGAACCACGCCAGTATTGGCGTTTAAATATATGTAATCATTTAAAATTTTAATGCTTATATTTCTTTTTTAATAATAACCAATTTGATTTATAAGTGACTAAAGCAAGATACTGTTTGAATAAATTATATATTTTATAACGATAATAATACCTATCAACTAATAAAACATGCATTTTGCGGTAAATAATGCATGTTGCTTAATCTTTTTGGATGTGTGGGCCATAGCAAATTTACCACTCCACCCATTTGGGAAAGGAACCTCCATCACAAAAAGGAGATAACAGAAATAATAATTGTTGGGGTCGTGTAGAAGTGGGTAACGAGAGGTATACCTGCGAAATCCCTGTATAACCTTCTAAAAGACCTCGGCCTGTGGTGGGACAGTAAGTTCAATTTTGGAACGAGTAACTAAGGCTGCACTAACAGATTCTTATCAAATTTGGCTAGAAAGGGCGGGCGACTCGAGCAGTGAAGGTGAGTGTTGATACTCATCTCAAAGGGGACCTCCTTAAACCTACACCTGGGTCGCAAGTCCCGGGAACTACTCAGAGTTGCTCTCTCTCCCACACGATGGATCCGGCACCCGCACGGTGAATCCATAGATTGCTAAGAAGTTCATCTCTGTCAGTAAGTAAGGATTTCAAAGCTCACTTGGGTAGGAGATGGAGCCAGGGTTTTCCAGACTCGAAAAAAAGAGCAACATTCGAGGGGTACTTTTGTATAGCAAACATCTATAGGATAGTCAGTTTGTTTGCCACCATTTTCACATAATAATACGTCATAACTTTACGATTTTTGTTATACTAACGTCCCTCCCTCGCTTCGCTTCGGTATAGAGCTCAAGTATAGACTACAGTTTTTGTTCTCAGGTTTGTATTATACACAATGACATTCATCTATGATTCTTCTAATACCCGCATGAAAAGTCTCAGCCCGATCAGTTTAAAATTGACAAAGTTTCATACAAACTTTCATTCCTTATTTTATCCTCTTGGGGGAAGAATTGATCAAAATCCTTTCTTAGCGGATGCCTACGACATAACATCTACCTGCATGCCAAATTTCAGCTCGATCCGTACAGTAGTTTGGGCTGTGCGTTGATAGATCACTATGTCAGTTAGTGACCTTTTAGTTTTATATATATAGATAGATAAGAAGTATAACACAGTGCAAAAGTTTTTTATTTTAAGTCAAAATTTTGTGCAACTTGAAAGCTAGGAAGGATGAACTTACTTTTGAAAAACCGAAGTTGGGTGCCGTTGTCGCTTGATGGTTGATGTCAAAACGTTTGAAAACTGCAAAGAAAATGAGCTTGGTTAGTTCTGATTAGTAAATCTGTTGTATAGAGTAAGAATTGTCTTATGCTTATCCTACACCTGCGTGATGAAGCTTCGGGTAGCTTTGAACTTTGAATTAAGTACGCTCCTTCAGTCGCACATACAAATTTATCGTTTTACGCAAACTCTTTTAGCGTGTCAACTTATCGCCAGTCAAGCTATCGCCTAGCGTCTTTAGACACGCAGTCGGCATATTCATTACGACAGAAGTAATTTAAATTTCAAACGCTTATTCTGCGCATTTAGTACCTAAGCCACCCGAAGCTGCGTCGCGCAGGTACTTACCTAAAATAGTAGAAAGGAAGGAATGATAGATAACACATAAATACTAGTTCCACAAAATAAAGCAACAAGAAAGTAGAGAAAATTAAAAAAAAGACGGGTTGCACTCCGGTAGTACCGGCAAAAGTGAAAACTTGAATATTACCGTTGTGCATTTTTGATATTTTGCAATGGTTAGGGAATAATTTTACACGAATTGCTTTAATTTATCAGTAACACTTTATATACACGAATTTTACGAATACACAGCAGTGTGACCACTACACAAACGGTCGAGCCATCAGCTGTCTCCATCCATGGACAGGGTTGCCAGATGTCCGGTTTAAGCGTACAGTCCGGAATTTTCGGGGCCTGTCCGGTAAAAAATAAATGGTCATACAGGACAGAACAATGTCCGGTATTTTGAGGAAAGTCGGTACTACTGGTCACAAGCGCCTACAAAAGTAGGCATATGGAATCCCTCAAACGCTTAACTCGCTCGCGCTTCTCTAATTAAGATGATTAATAAAAAATATTGGTAAAAAAAACGTTTTTTTTTGCGACCTATCTTACACTTTTTCTTTCGCTCAAGAAGTTTGCTGCTACCTAAACCTAGCTGGCGCAGCATATAAGATACTCCGCCACATCAATCATCTTCGCAACTGAACTATAGTAATCGCAGCTGGATTCCACTTACACTTAATTTCAAGTAATGTGGGTTGTATGATAAAAAATATGAAGTTTTTCTATGATAAAACTGTGGCAAACAAGCATGGCCCGCCTGATGGTAAGCGGCCACCATAACCTAAAGACGCTTGCGATACAAAAAAAATATCAGTCGCGCATATGCCAAATTCCTGCCAAACGCAGTGGAGCCCTGGAACCTTACCTTACCTTTACCAAAATACAGTAAATGGCGGACTTAATGCCATAGGCATTCTCTACCAGTCAACCAGTAAGGGTGTGGGAGACCAATGTTATGGCGATAGAGTGCGAGCTACTAAAGTTATAAAAACATATATAGGGTGAAATCGATCTTATTCACCGTCAGAAAAACAAAACCATCAGAAGGTAGTGTTGTTATGTTACAGAAGTGTAAGGTGGAGGTTACTACCGTAGACGGGTGCTCCGATTCGAGCGGGAAATCCGCTGTACCCTACCTTACTTACAGTAAAAATGAGATAGAAAAAAGGAGAATACACATGCATAGCTACTGATGTAAGATACAAGAGATAAGAATTTTCACGAGCGATACCACGCGTTCCCATTAAGGAAATTAGAGATGTTCATCGACTACGTTTAAAAACGTATGTTATGCGTACAAAATAGTCGATACGAGATGAGTCGGTCGTATCGTACGCAGGAACTGGAGTAATAGAACACAATGAGAAATGCCGACACTTAAGCGGTGTATTCACGGAGTACTACTTATCTGAAGATGTAGATGTGCTTTGAAATTGAACAAAAAAACGTATGTGAGTAATTTTTTAATTCTTTACATTTTAATTCTTAACAGACTAAGTTTTGACGTGACAACGTCTTAAATTAGGTTGCGGCTGGGAGTCACTTATGAAAAAGTGTAACGCTCGGTAACGTTACGATGAGTTTAAGTTTACATGTACAATGTTTTAGTAAACAAAATATATTTCTATAGTTAAAATTTGTGCAATTCTTATTTTCATTCAATTCCTTGTTCCTATTGTGCAATTTAATTATATTCATATCAATAAATATTCTACCGAGAAAAAGACGTTGTCACGTAAAATCTTCGCCCGTAAAACCGACTTTACAGGCAACCATTTTTAATTTTATGTGAGTAGATACAACATTTTTTCTAACCGCAACGTCGCCTGCGATATGCAAATCACTGGAATAAAAAGTCTCCAGTAAGGCCTACTTGCACCAAAGTTCCTAATTCAAATTTAAAAGCTAATCATGTTTAAGTCTTATTTTAACTTTAAACTGGATTTGACTTTAAACAATTGACAAACATGGAATGATGTGTTAAAGACGATGAAGCCTTAATTTAAATTAAGAACTTTGTGCAAGTGGGTCTTAGTGTGTATGTACTAATCAAGTGTAAACGCTTTTTTTTAACCCGATTAACTATTTACGAGTTTGTTGAAACGTTTTAGAGTGATCGGCTACAAACTTTCATATTTAAAATACGAATTGGCTTACAAAGGTTAAAAAGCATTAAAGATAAAGGTGCACCACGTTAGAAATTGGTCGTGAATTTGAGTTATCGTAATATCTGCAATATATCCTTGCACCTGCACTCTACTATACACCTAACAAAAAGTACCATTAAGTTTTCTGCATAGTTTTGTTCAAACAAGTACTGTATGTATATTTTTTACTTTACTTAACACATGTGCACCTGCCTTTAAAGGTATAGTCGAGATATTCGAACAATCGATAATTTGGCCCGTCCTACTCATCGATACGCATCTCTATTGAGCGGTGTTGCCTAACTTTCAACACTCGTATCACTCTTCCGAATTGTGAAATCTAAACGATACAACACTCTTGTTGTCATTTAGAAGAAGACGATTGTAATAATAGCAATAATGTTTAATAGAATGTCACTGCAGTTTAGACAAATGTAATAGATCACAGATTATAACGGAGATTTAACTTAACGGGAGTAGTGGAATGGATATCTAAGAATCGGAATCTTTTGGAGAAATCGTACAATCAAATATTGATATTACCATAGCATAAGTTAGGAGAGCATAGCGGATATTTCGCTCATTATTGAAAAATTCATTTGCGGAAATGTCACCTCAGGGCGCTTGTTAAAGTGACGATTTGTGCCCGGGTCTAGGCACTGTTTTAAACCGTGTCTATGACCGGTCGACAGTTGGGTATGGGACTCTCTGGAGGCTTGTAACGACATCGGTGCGGTGCTCGCGACGGTTGGAGCCGATACAAATGTATCAATCGTGTTCTTGAACAAGCTTAGCCCACACTGGCACTAGTAAAAACCTTGCCTAGATGCGGTGGCGGAAACCCGGTCATTAAAAAGTACCCTAAAGATTTTAATGGTACGAGTATTGTGTTTCTGTCAGTTATCAGAGCGCCACAGAAGAAAAGAAAAAATATACATGGCGTATGCGTGCTTTATCACAGATAATAAACTCATTAGAATTTTGTGTTATATTATAGTAACAACAATCGAGACAAAGAAAAAAATCTTAAAATCGTACTTATGGGGAATTGATTGGGGCAATGCAATGTAGGCGTAACTTAAGTTTAGGAAAAAATGGCGTAGTTTTAAGAATCCACGAAAAGAGTAAAACTTTCAAAATTATCAATAAAAAAAGAAAATCTGGGAATCGAACCGGAGCCGCCCGCAATGTACGGATTCTACCATGTGAACCACTGTTGCTCGTTGATAAGGTCTGAATCTTGCATATCAATTAAACATTTAATGCGACATGCTAAAAGATGAACAAAAAATATGGCCACGTAATAAAAGTTTCACTTTAAAAAATAAAACAACTTGTGAACATCAAAGAGATCTTTGACTCATCAAAGTGTAGTAACAAGATCAAAATGACAGGAACAAAGATTAAATTTGGCATAATCAATGTTACTTAAGAACAGATAAATCCCTACTTAACCTACAGATCACCTACGTCGTTGTTACACTATCTAAAATATATCGATGTCAATGCATGCACTTAGGGGACAAGCGGCGTAATTAATCGATTCGATCGATACTTTCTCGGGCACCGCGATAAACAATAACTGCAAGAGCAGATTATCGATAAGGTATCAGTGGAATAATTCCCGGCCCTAATGGCCCGCCGGCGAGTAAGGAGATTTACACTTTCTACGGCATTATCGGTATGGGATGGATTCGAGTATCGATAAATCGATACCTTATTCGCGCTCGAACGAAGTATTATTGTATTCGATTCGTTATCAGTTTCAATTAGAGAGCAACAATATGGTTTTATAATTGAATATCATGAAGGCGTACATTCGACTTTATAAAAGTATTTTTAACTCACTTTGAAGCTTAGCTAGTGCATTCTATATTTTATTTCGCTTCCAGTCAGATATCGTGACAGGCAAAGGATGCATGATCTTTCGTCTTATTCGTCAATCTAATAGTATGGCTGGTCAAATTTATATGATGTTAAGTGTGGAGGCTAAGGACTGTATTTTAATTATTATTAGAGAAAATAAAACAGTGGTGGCAGTGACAAGGTAAAGCAATTTAATGTCAAAAAATAACAAACTCAATAAAAAAAGTATCAAAAACTCATAGACAAAACATAGTGATATAAAAAGGTGCGCTATCCGGCACATGGTCCCCTTTTTTTTTAAATTGGAAATGCGATCAGCTTCTTAAGAGGCCTTCGCAGGATTCCTGATGGAGTGGAGACGTCTGCTACCCGAATTACAGCATCCTTCCCTGGGTAAACGGCTGAGATCCGACCTCTTGGCCACGATGACCTCGGTAAGGTACCATCGGCGATGATAACCACGTCGCCGACTTTAAGAGTTGGTACATTTCCTCGAACTCGCCTCGGACAAAGAGTTGGCAAATATTCTTTAATCCACCGTTGCCAGAATATGTCGGCCATTGCCAAGGTTCTACGCCAGCCTTGCCTGCTGCAGAGATCTGATGGCTGAAGTGATGCAGGAAATGGTCTTCCGGATGATGAACCCAGGATAAAGTGAAG